TTCTTTCTTTCTTTCTTTCTTTCTTTCTTTCTTTCTTTCTCTCTCTCTCTCTCTCTCTCTCTCTCTCTCTCTCTCTCTCTTCATTCTTTTTCTCTTCATTTCTGGACAAGGTCTCCTTAATCACTAAAAGAGGGTGGACTCCGATTTGTGATCCTCCTGCCTCAGCCTCCCAGACTACTGAGATTATAGGTCTGTGCCGCCATTTCCTGAGGGATTTTTTTTTTTTTTTTTTTTTTTTTTTGTGAATGGACTATTTCCCATCACCGTGGATTCTGTTTTGAGACACTCTCTGGTCCTGGTGGAGTCTGCTACTTGGATAGTTCTGCGTGACTGTTCGGCCTCTGGCGCGGGCACGCGGTTCAGCATCTTCGCTTGCGGCGAACTCGCCGCCCACGCTCCAGATCCGCTCTGAATCCTGAGCGGCTCCTCGCCGGCATCCTGGAAGCGAGCTCAGGAACCACAGTCTGCGACGCGCAGGCCACAGAGCGGGCGGGGCCGCAGGGGCCGGCGCCGCCGGCAGAGGGCGCATGCCCGCGAGCCGCTCTCCCACCCGCTGGTCCCGGCGCACGCTCAGCTTTTGCGTAGCTTTTGAGTAGCCGCCAGGCGCTCAGTCGATTATCTTTGTTATTCACAGACCGGCATTATTTCTGATAGGGAAACAGTTCAGGAGAAGCAATTCCTAACAGCCTTCTATGTGACTTGGGAATGGCCAGATAACTTTGATTTCACTTTCTCCAACCACAAAATAGGAAGAATACTTTCTTAAAATATTTTAAGAGTATATAACCAAAGTGCTTGTAAAAAGTGGTTGTATTCTACGCGCGGCACAAGGGATACAAGAAAAAATAGATAATCTCGAATTAAGAATAGTTTCTGCTAGCAATAATACCCCAAGAAACAGAAAAGACAGCCTGGCGTGGTGGCGCACGCCCATCATCCTAGCATTCGGGAGGCTGAGGCAGGAGGATCCGTTGCAACTTCGAGACCTGCGTGGGCTACAAAGTAAACTCAAGGCCAGGTGTTTTTGTTTTGTCTTGTTTTGTTTTTTGGTTTGGTTTTTTTTTTTTTTTTTTTTTTTTTTTTTTTTTTTTTTTTTTTTTTTTTTTTTTTTTTTTTTTTTTTTTTTTTTTTTTTTTGTCTTTTTGAGACAAGGTCTCGCTATGCAGTTCAGGCTGGCCTTGAGCTCACTTTGTAGCCCATGCTGGCCTCGAACTCGCAATGATCCTCCTGCCTCAGCCCCCGAGCGCTGGCATTACAGGCCTGCGCCACCACGCCCGGCTCCTCAAGGCCAGTTTAAACTGCATAGCGAGACTATGTCTCAAAAATACAAAAACAAACTAACAAACAGCAACAAACAAATAAAAAAAGTAGACTACTGGTTGGAAGTGCGGGGGAGTGAGGGGTGACTTGATGATCCTGAATATACTATGAGATTAGAGCCGGGCAAAGCTCAGCAGCACAGGCTCTGCCTGGCAAGAGCAAAGTCCTGAGTTCATTCCCAGAACCAAAAATAAATTAGTTAGCAGTGACAGTGCAACGGCTCTGTGAACACCCTGGGCGACTGCACACTGGAAACGGGTGGACTGTGCGCTATGGGATTCCAGGCGATGACGATGCACAGGTATTCAGGCATCGGAGAGGCAGCGATGCAGTCTGCGCATGCCCAGTGGGTGGCCGCTTCGCCTATGCTTCGGCCTCCAGTTCAGGGCTTCAAAGCTGCGGGGGAGCTGGGGATTTAGCTCAGCGGCAAAGCGCCTGCCTGGCAAGCGCAAGGTCGTGAGTTCGGTTCCCGTTACCGGAGAAAAACCAAAAAAAAAAAAAAAAAAAAAAAGCTGCGGGTCAGCTGCCTGCTGGCTCTGCGCAAGCGCGGCCACCTCTTAGGCACATCTGTAGATCAAAGCTCATTTGCCCTGAGTTTACTGAGCCTCTCGTCCCCCTCAAGGCTGATGACACGAAGATAAGAATCACTAAAGTGATTTCCAGGATGTACGAGGACATGGATTGCCAGCTTTTATAAGTCCAGCTCCAGACTACCTAGAGTAATTGGATTGCTTGATTGAGACAGGGTCTCGCTATCTAGTCTAGGCTGGCCTTGAACTCACTGATGTTGCCTAAGCTGCCCTCGAACTCATGGTGATCCTCCTGCCTCAGCCTCCTAGGCACTGGGGTTACAGGCCTGAGCCACCATGCTGGGCTAAAGGGACATCTAGAAGTCTCCAGGCATTGTCCTAAACCTGCAGTTGCCTTGGATTCCTGGGAAAAGCAGAGCATCAGAGACCACCCCATTCGGAGGTCACACCCACCCCAAGCAGGAGCCTCACCCTGGATAGGAAGGGGGGCTGCCCCTTAAGCAGGGGCCCCCAGCTCCTGCCAGGGGCGGCCTTGCCGGAGGGAGAGAGGCTCTTCCAAACCCCACAGAACCAGTCCCGAGATACCATCAACCATAGCGGGAGGGAACGGCCGGTTTCAGGAAATCAAATTAATGCTGGCCAGGCTGCAGGGGAAAAGGGGCCTTCCACGCTGCTGGCAGGCATGTAAACTACTGCCTCAGAAAATGTGGAGATCAGGAAGGAAATTCCTCCCAAAACTAAAGCTCACAATGCTATTTGACCCAGCTATTCCCCTTCTAGATATTTTCACTAAAGAGTTCAAGACATCATATTTCGGTGATCAGTCATGTTGATAGCAGCACAGCTCATAACAGCTGAATCTTGGCAGCAGCCTGTTTGTCCAACAACAGATGAACGGATAAAGACAATGTGGTATATACACACAGTGGAGTACTACTCTGCCAGAAAGAAGGATAAGCTTTGAGGGATTCACGGGTAAACGGCCGCACCTTCTGACAATAACATTAAGTGAAGTAAATCAGATGCACAAGTTTGAATATGATGGGGTTTTTCTTATATGAGAAACCCAAAACGTAAATAAAGAGCAAAATAAAAGATTATAGCAAGTAGGGAGGTGTTTTTCAAATGGGAAAGAGAAGAAGGAAAGGGAGAAGGAAAAGCGGTTGGAAGAAAAGAATTAAGGCAAAAATGGGAAGCAGAGCTTTTTATTTATTTATTTATTTTTATTTATTTTTAAAGCAGAGCTTTTTAAATGGGAAGGGGATCAAGAGTTGGAGGGAGCAGGCAGGAATGGGATGAGTAGGGGAGGAAAGAAAGAACCAAGATGTGTTCTGTACACGCACCTTAGTTATTTATTTACTGTTTATGTTTGAGACAGGATCTCACTACATAGTCCAGGCTGAGCTCAAACTCAGGGAGATCTTCCTGCCTCAGCCTCCCCAGTGCTGGGATTACAGGTGTGTGCCACCACACCCAGCTAGCTACAAAAATCTAAAAATATTGAGTGTTGGAGTAGATGTGAAGCAGTGACAAAAATTAAACAACAAGACAAAACAAATACCAAAAACCCTCAGCCTTCAAACAGCACCCAGCTATCCCAAACCGACCTGGATGGTGACCTGATGAAACAGCTTTGGGACGAGCTTTCTCAATTCCTTCCCATCTTGAAATCAAACATAAAACCTCGGCCTGTCACCCTGGGTGTGGTCCTCCCTTGAATTCATCCACTGCTTCTTTGTGGTTTATCAGGAAATTTCACTTTCCTATATTCCTTGACTGTTGGGATTTGTTTGTTTGTTTGTTTCTTTCTTTCTCACTGGATCTCACTATGGAGCCCATCCTGGCCTGGAATTTGCAGCGATCCTCCTGCCTCAGCTTCCTGTACCCCTTGGATATTTCTTTTAGCCTCTCACAACCACTGCTCTTTGGACAGCACAACGTTCAGCCTCGCCTTTGTCCCCCGTTTCGCTAAAATCCCAAGGCCTCTGTCCCCAGGGGAAGCAGATTTTGAACCTCTCTCCCAGTGGCTGCCGCCCGGACCCTGCTGAGCTCCTTTCCCGAGCTTCCCCACGGCCTGGGCTGCAGCAGGGGCTGATCTGAAGGGATTCACAGAATTCCTTTCCTGGAAAGCAGATAAGGCAAAGCCAGCAGTGGTCTAATTTTACTCACAAATTCCTTTCCTATCGAGTAGCCTGGTTCCTATCTAGCATTTGGGAAATAAACTGTAACTCTTTTAATTCTGGAATGAAACCTTTAAGATTATGGTTTAGGCGGGGCATGATGGCACAAATCTGTAATCCCGACACTAGGGAGGCTGAGGCAGGATTGCCATGAGTTCGAGGACAGCGGGGGCTACACAGTGAGTTCAAGGCCAGCCTGCATGCATAGTGGAGCTGTTTTAAAAAAAAAGTTACGGTTTAGTAAACCACCCGATACAATATATTCTCCATCTGTGGCAATATTGTTTCTAAAATTTCACGTTACTGTTATTCTGACCACTCAACTCAGTTTTGTATAAATTCTGTTTTTGCTTTTTTGAGGCAGGGTCCCCCTTGCTATGTAGTTCAGGCCGGCCTTGAACTCACGGCGGTCCTCCTGCTTCAGCCTCCCAGCTGCTGGGGTGACAGGCGTGCCAAGGCCTGCGAAAGAGTCTTTTTAAAAAAGGGCCCAAGTAAAATACAATTTAATGGCATTCCTTGTGTTAGTTTCCTTGCATCGCGTCCCCGGGGTAGGGGCGGGAATGAGAGATGACGCTTCCTGCAGCAAGGACACGTCCTCCCTTTGCTCTTCCCAGGCGGCAGCGTCTGGGCGGCCGTGGGTGGCCGCGCCCCACGTCACTACACAGCAGGCGCCGCGCGCGCCCCCTGTAGGCCATCCAGCCGTCCTGCGGCCACCGCCGTAGCTTCCCCGCCCGCCTACCTGGGCCGGCGCCCTGCCCCCGCCCCCAGCGCGGTCGCCACGGCAACGCCCCGCCCCACCCGCTCCCCGCCAGTCCGCAGCCCCTCTTGCCCCTCCCCCGTCCAGAGCTGCCGCGGGGAAAGGGGTGGGGCGAGGGCGGGGAGATACGCCGGCGAGAGGAAATCGGCGGTGCGATGCCCGCAGCCTATTGGCTGCTGCGTCCTGGAGCCCGAAGCCCCGCCTGCCTGGCGGGGGTCACGTGATCCCCTTCAAAGATGGCCGCCCTGTTGTTTTGATGAATAATACTTGGTGGGGCGAGGGGTAAGAGTAGGGGTGGAGGGGTAGGAGGATTTACGCTTCCAACGAGAGCATCGCGAGTCCCATCCTCCCCCTCCCCCCGGCCCGGGTTCCAGCGTGGAGGAGGGGCGTGTCCGGCCTGCTTTTAGAGGGGAGGGGCTTCTCCATACAGCGCAGGGCCCCGCCACGGCGGTGAGGGGTCGTCTTGCTTCGGGGCATCCACTCTGCGGTGGGGTCGTTCCCGCCGGAGGCCGAGGGTGGGAAGGAGAGAGCAGGATCCGCTGGAGCAGACGCAGCTGCCGCGCCGCCACACGCAGGCTGTGGGCACGAGAGGAGCTGGAGACCGCGCTGCCCCTCCGGGTAACCTGGGCGGCGAGGGCAGCGAGTGGCGCCTTCAGCTCACCCTGTCGCAGCGGCGGGCAGCGGCGGCTGCCGGGGGCTCGGGCAGCTGGGGGAGTCTCAGAGGCGACGGAAGCCACCCGGTCAAGGCAGTTCAGTGCCTCGTGTTCTCATTTTTTAACCTCTGACTATGCAATTCTGAAACCTCCCCCATTCGGGGGACCAGACAGCCTGCTAGACACCTTCCGCTCGCCTTGCTCCCGCCCTGGTCTCGAGAACCGAAGGACCTCTCCTAACGCCTGTCACCATTAAGAGGAAAGCGATGGAGGAGCTGAGCGCTGATGAGGTGAGCAGGCTGGGGGCGCCTCCGGGGAATTAGTTGGCAACTCTTCGGCGCTTTGGATGGGGATGGTACTGCGCCAGGGGTACCGAGCTTTGGGTTTTGTAGGGAGAATGGAGATGACAGTTTCCAAGAATGAAATGAATCTGGGGAGGTCTCTGGTTTTATTCTCCTGTATTCACTCGCCTTCTTTTTTCCTTCGGAACTCCGCTTGCTTCTTTTCGTCCTTTTAAGGTCTGAAGGAGAGGAGAACATCTTGAGTGGTGCCTTTTCTTCAGGGTATTGAGGAAGGAAGGGCTAGGTTCCGATCATGGTAAATTGCATGTCTTTAGGAATTTAAAGGATGATTTTGGATGGATTCAGAATGTTTGAGAGTTATGTTTGTAAAGAAAGTACTTGACACTCCAAATATGTGAGGATATTTCATTGTGTAAGTTGCTTAAACCTGCCTTTATGTTTGGGAGGTGGCTTACAGACACATTCCTTGATATTTAACAAAATATGTATCTTTTCGGTTGTTTAGAGGATTGCAGTTAAAATTCTAGTAATTTAACCGACCACTAATGACTTCTGGCATTCTCTTTCAGTGTACCTTTTCTTAGTCCGTTTTCCTTTCTAACTTGGGTTTTGCTGTGGCAGAGACCGAAATGGGTGAGCAGATGGAAGCGAATGACTTTGTAAACTCTCCCATTTCTGAGGGGGGCCAGCTAGAGCCCCTTCTTGATGTGGGTAAGGATTGCTTAATAAGATTGTCGTAAAACAGTGGCAATTAGGGTCCCAGGAATTTCCTGTGATCTACAGACTTCCCTGCTCTTTACAGATTGGGAGTTTTCCTTTTCAGGACCCCTGCTGCTTGAAGCCTCTTCAGGCTACCCATTTCTTCCTCCGGTTCATGTAAACTTCCCTGCCGTGTTAGGAAAATAGTCATCCATCAGGTTGGTTGGATTCTTAGGACTCCCCTGCTCTGCTTGTAGCTATACTGTAGTTCAAGTGTTTACTTAGTCACTAGAATTCTCCAGGGATAGAGCATGGAAGTCGTGGGTTAAGGGTCAGGTAGGATGGGAGGCAAATAATTTTGTTGATTGTGATGCTTGGTTGTTTAGAAAGCCAGGATTACTCATTCTGTGTTATTGACTTTGGTTTCCTCAAATACATCAGGAATGCAATCTTAAAAAAGAAAAATATTGAGCAATTTCTTTCACTCAGGAGATACCAAGAGGTCTCCTTAGACACACTTTGTTTTATGTAGCTCTTAAAAGTATTCCCCTTTTCTTTTATATTAATTTAATTATTATTATTATTATTTGTCTTTTTGAGACAGGGTCTCGCTGTGCAGCTCAGGCTGGCCTTGAGCTCACTTTGTAGTCCAGGCTGGTCTTGAACTGGCAACGATCCCCCTGCCTCAGCCTCCCGAGTGCTGGGACTATAGGCATGCGCTATAAATGAGCAGTTTTAAAGAGAAAGTAAAGAGAAGTAAAACTTTTGGCTTTGTGTATTTACTTTATTGGTGGACGCTTGTGTCCCAAATATGATAGATGACATTGATTTTTGATTTGTTAATTTGCCACCATGCCTGACAAGAACATTTTACATATGGGCACCCTCTCATTGATTATCTTGGATTCTTGTGCTTTTCTTTTATCTTGTGCTTTGAAGCAGAGTTCTTATTTGTGTTTTGTTGTTGTTGTTGTTGTTGTTACCGGGAATTGAACTCAGGACCTTGCGCTTGCCAGGCAGGTGCTTGTGCCACTGAGCTATATCCCCGTCCTCTCTGAGTTCTTATTTGTTAAAAAATACTACATTTATATTATTGAAAGTTTAATCAGCTAGATGTGGTGGTACACACCTGTAATGTGGGAGGCAGAGGCAGGAGGACCACCATGAATTCAAGGCCAGTCTGGACTACACAGTGAGACCCTGTCTCAAAAACAAAAAACAAAACAAAACAACAAAAAAGAAAGTTTAAGCCATGGCACATGCCTGTAATCCCAGCACTTGGGAGGGTGAGGCAGGAGGATTGTTGTGAGTTCGAGACCAGCCTAGGCTACATAAGTGAGCTCAAGGCCATCCTGAACTGCATAGCGAGACCCTGTCAAAAAAAGAAAAAAAAAAAAAAGAAAAGAAAAAGGAAATTCACTCACATATTTCAAAATATATTAAAATAGGCAAGGGGCTGGGGATTTAGCTCAGCGGCAAAGCGCTTGCCTGGCAAGCGCAAGGTCGTGAGTTCGATTCCTGGTACCGGAAGAAAAGACAAAAAAAAAAAAAAAAAATAGGCAAGGCAGCAGTCTCTTGCTCTAAATTAGGAAATTAGGTACAGCAGAGTTCCATATTTTAACATAATGAAAAGGTTTGCAAATACAGTCCTTGAAAGATAAAGAATGGCGTAACCAGACCGATAACTTTAGAAGATTTTATTTATTTGTTGGTTTTTTTGAGATCAGGTCTTGCTCTGTAGTTCAGACTAGCGTTGCACTCACTATGTAGACCATGCTGGCCTCAAATTCAGGGGAGTACTCCTGCCACGGTCCCCTAAGTGCTTGGTGGACAGACTTTCAACACCAGGCCTGGCAAGAAGATTTTACATATGGGCGTCCTCTCACTGATCACCTTGGATTCTTGTGCTTTGGAACTGAACTCTTCTATTACCTCGCTGCTCCTTGTTGCTTACATAGCATCATGGTGAATTCACTGCTCCAGGGAGCAGCGCCATGACTTCGGGTGTTCTCTGCAGCTACGTACATTCCAGGTGTTATTGTTTACACTGTGTTTATTCTGTAGCCTACATGTGCACTGTTTGCACCTCCTGGGATGGTGCCGTGCGCGTGCGCAGGGCAGGTGTTGTAAATTGTTTCTCAGCAGCGGTGATGGTGCATGCCAGTCTTCCCACTCGGGGAGGCTGAGGCAGAAGAATCACAGCAAGCTTGAGGCCAGCCTGGGCTACACGGTGAGTTCAAGGCCAGCCTTAATTACATAGTGAGACCTGGGCTCCAAAAACCAAACCAAAACAATATTAGCACTGGTGATAGCACTGAATCGAGTGCTTGTCTTTTGCCAGGACTTCTTCCTGACCCGCTTCCATAGCTAACTGGGCTCAGGGTGTGTCAAGGTGTTAGAAAGGTATTCCTTCCCAAAGGGACAACGTGTGACCTTGGGCCTTCTAGCAGTGTCCTGTTCTTGGAAAAGGCTTGGCATTTGGTACAGCCCAAGAAGCCTGCTCTGTGTCTGGCCAGTGTGCCATTGTCTTGTTGGCTAGGCAGTGTAGTTACCCAGCAGGGGCCTTTTTTTTTTTTATGGTAATACCAGGGATTGAACCCAGGACCTTTACAGTGACCTGCATCTTGGATCTTTCATTCATTCATTCATTCATTCATTTATTTATGTATTTATTTATTTATTTTTAATCTTGAGGCAGCATCTTGCTTAGTAGCTAAGTTACCAAGGCTGGGCTGGAATTT